CAATTGGCTATATTGTTGCTTAGATCAGCGATATGGCTCTTGGGCCTCTCTTCTAAAGAACAAGAGCAAGACCAAGAAGAGGGTGCGCTATTATTATTTTTTAAAGGAAACCTTAATTCAATTTTTTCAGTATTTTACGTCGAGTGCTTGTGGATGAAACATATGGAGATAACGAACAGTATCAAAGATTAAATGTCCATATATCAAAAATCAAAAGTCCTTAAATCAAATTTAAGCAAAACATTAGCGAAGTAGGAGGTCGCTAAAATTGAATATCGCAATAATAAATTGATTTGTACATACATCCAAAATTACAAAAATAAAATACAGAGATCGCTAAATTTGCGTCTCGCTAAAATTTCCAGATATCCAAAACATGGAGGATGGAGGAGTGAGCATCCCCTGCCGACCGGTCACACCCGCCGTACGCTCCTCGTCATGATCGGAAAATTACGGAAAATCCGTCGTCAATTCATTTATGAATAATGGACTAACAATTAGAATGAAAAACGTCATTCTGCATTTGACTCAATGATAAACTGTATTTGCTGACAGGTCATTGTATCGACCATAGGACTTACGAAATAATTACTTTAAACGAATTGATTTAAGGGAATCGGACACAGTTTCAACTGATTTTCTTTTTAACCAATTTCAATGTTTAAAATCCTTACTTGGGTAATTGACATGATCATCAAAAATTTGAACATCTTTTGTTGATTATCAAAGGAGATACAGAGCTTAAATATTCTTCATAATGTAAACAAGGCTCGTGCTTTGTTTTTGTTTACATATAGAAAATATCATATTTACAACAAACGAGATTCAGCAAATCACTATAAATTATCTACTTTATCGAAAAAAATCTTCTTTGAACGAATATATAGTACTAATAGTAGTATATTTAACCTACATGAATGTAAACAAAAACTTGGCATGGGCCTTGTTAACATAACCATGCAAGGTTTATAGGCCATGACTGATGTCCAGTCCAAGTATGTAATCTCACTTTACATAACAAAATATTGATTAAATTAAATTAACATAGTTAAGGTTTGTAGCTCTAAATCTGTCTTGTATCTTGACAACTGAAATAAAAAAAATTGATAATATTTAATCATTGAAAATACCTTAAGGTAGCATTCTTCTCATATTTATTGTATTTAAAAATCAATGAAATTTTCACAGAATCATATAAGAGGCAAGGTCAGGTCAAGGTCATAACCTTTTTCCTGGATATTAATAATGAAAAATTACTGTTGCCAATTATGCGATCCCTACTTGTATCTCAAAAGATGGAATGTTTTATATAAAAAGAGCAAGGTCATGATATAACCAAATTGACATATACCTTTTTCCTGGACATTAATAAATTTTAGAAAAATTACTTTTATATGCTTCCTATATTTAAATTTTTCTTATTTTCACATATAGTACAGTTGTCGCATAAAGATACAAAATGATACAAAAGCAAAAAGTCTTTATTGTTTACTAAGAGAAAAAAATGTTTTTTTTTGGCTTTCTGAATAAAAAGATAAAAGCTATCATAAAGGCCTAAAAATCAACATTTGATATATACCAATTAATCTGTTGAAAATTTCTTATAACTAAATAATTTTGGATATTGGCTAAAATATAGTTCCTGCTAGTTTTCAAACGCGGTTTACCATTTCTATTTAAAGTTCTACAATTGTGATGAGGAAAGAAAAATATGGTCTTTTAAATCTCTTACACCCACCTAAATATATAAGACATATACGCAAATATATATATTTGTATATGCTTATAAACTATATTTAAATTTTTCACATATAGTACAGTTGTCGCATAAGATACAAAATGATACAAAAGCAAAAAGTCTTTATTGTTTACTAAGAGAGAAAAAAAATAGTTTTACGGATTTTTGGCTCAAATCTCTGCACTCAGATTAAAAGCTTATAAAAGCTAATACAGTTCTAGCTTGTTTGAAAAATCATAGTCATTTGATATATTTAGAAACTTTAATCCCTTATTATTAATCTGGCATTTGAAAATTTCTTCTAGTCTTTTATTGTGTAAAAATTATGACTAAAATCATTGTTCTATAATAATTTTGAGAGGCGGAAAAAAAAAATTGATTCTTTTCATACTTGTGCTTTTCACCTTGAGTATATACTGTCAATATGATTTGGAATATAAACACACGTAAAATATATATATTGTGATGAGGAAAAAAAAAAATGGTCTTTTAAATCTCTTACACCCACCAATATGTATATGACATATACGCAGATGTACTTTGAACATTTCATCTAGTCAGAAACCAGTATTTGTAAGCATAAAAAATGGAGAAAAGAATTGAAAAATTTCAGCTGAAACTGTGTCCATGTTCCTTTAAATAGTTTAAATAGTGATTCATTTGTAAACATGTACTTGTCTTTAGTATGTCACAGGCATAATTTAACACATCTTTCTGGAATGTTTTTGATCAAATTGCAAATTAACTGAATATTGATTTTTTAAACTTTTTATCATCAAACTTACTGTTTCTTGTGTCTTTTCAGCATCGATTATCATTTGCTATGTATGATATCTATTTTGTATTATTTTTTTTTTAACGACACAAGACATTTATTAAATTTGAATGCATCTTTTTTTAAATAAAATATTAATAAAAAAAAAAACCAAAGCTTTTATTATGTTTGAATGTTCACAGGGCACGGTCCTACGGCGTACGATAAAAAAAAAATCAGGGTTTCGTCGGAGAATACACGCGTATTGTTTCGAAATAGATAAGATTGGATAAAAATTATCCTATTTTTAATTCATTATCTATTGTGTCGTGTTTTTTTTTTTAATTCAAGACATTCACTTAATTTTTGGCAGTTTCTCGAGTGATCGAAATGGGAAAGACGAAAAATGGCGTCGTTTGGTGACGTTAAACCCCTGTCACACCAGGGCTGCGTCCTCACGGCGACTGCACGGCGTCCTTAAAAAATGCAAAACGCCGATTTGTAAACATGTACTTGTCTTTACAGCGCCGTGATAACGCGGTAATTTAACACACTTTCCGTAATAAATTAATTATTGATTTTTTAACTAATGCCTCTTGCTACGGCGATCACTTTTTGACATGCACAAAGTACGCGCCGTGTGATCGCGGTCTGATTCATTGCACGTCAGTAGAAATAATTTTGATCGCCGTAGCAGCACGGTGAGATTTTATAACAAAGTTTTTCTCCATATAATAAACGCCGATGAAGACGCACACGATGTTTTACGAACGCAGTGATTTAGACTGCTCTTCCACGGAGATAAGATTGCGGAGTCCGAGGAGATGTCACTGCGTTTCTATCGCGTTTTTACGGCGCTTCTAATGAGATTTATCGTCTTGTGATTTTTTCGACTGAGATTACACGGGACAGCACGGAGTTGTCACTGCGATCATTGCGCTCCCATGGCGTTTCCACAGCGTCCGTTGGCGTTCACAATGCGCTTTCATGGCGTTGTTAGAACGTTGTCAGCCAGCACACAAAAGAGCAGTGGGATCATATTTGATCAGCAATAATTCTAACGTATTTGTTGCACTAGGAGCATTTAAGGGACAAAAAATTTACACCAGAACTTGTTCTGTTGCTTCACTTTATTTTAGAAAACTTTTCAGTGTGTTTTTAAAAAAAAATCAAAGAAAATATAACAACACATCCGAACCGATAAAATTGTAAAAAAGGAGTTTAATCATAGAACTATTAATAATTAAGTACTAAGTTAGTTAAATAGATATTTTTTAATTATTATAAATATTTCTTGGCATGATTAGAAGTCTTCTCATCTTGTAACTTGAATCTTTAAAAAAAAATGTTTTACATTCCTTCTGAATATATATAAATGAGTATAGAACGCATTGTGAACGTATTATGAACGCAGTCAGCGCAGTGAGAACGCCGTGAACACGAGGTGAAAACTCTTAACTCGCCGCGAAAACTCCGCGGAAGAGCAGTCAATCGCCGAGAGATCTCCTTGGGAACGCAGTAGAACGCCGTTTTTTTTTAATTCGCGTCCGTCGCCGTAGGGACGCTGTGACATCTTCATATTGTGAAAATTTTACAGAAAATTGTGCAATTTTCCTGCGATTCCACGGCGATTTTAAAAATTTAACAACGCCGTAATGACTCCGTGTGAACGCAGCTTGGTGTGACAGGGCTTACGGCGCACCAGAGAACAGTTCACCTCTGATGTTTGGAGGTCTGTTTGCTCTGCTCCAATTTTGAATTGATTTATGGACTTTTGATCTCTAATGCTGTTCGTTATCTCCATATGTTTCATTGTACAATCAACTTGAACTCTAGTTATGTTTTACAAAAATATTTAACACAGATTACGAGGTCAATAATGCTTTGTACTCAATTATTGGGCTTGAACAATCACTGAACCCCACAATGTCATGACATGCACTTATTCATTGGGCTTTTGTGAAATTTATAGAATATAAATGATGCAAGTCACTCTTACTACTTGAAGGATATAACCGATTGTATATGTATTTGTAGAGCATGAACCTCTTGACGTGTTTTCTTTCTTTTTCTTTTTTTTTTTACTAGGAATCTATTTTATTGTAAAGCAGATAGTTACTCCTTTATTATCTCTGTAAAGCTGTCATAGACTTTTAAAAAAAAATTTAGTTTGATTATAAGTTAAATTCGCTCTGATTATTCAAGTTTTTGGGGTAGAAATGTTTTGGAATCGAGTGACAAGAGGAGATTTAATGAATTGATATAAAAGAGCCCTCTCTGTGCAAGGGTATTTAAAAAGAAAGACGTTATAATAATTATGTGAAATTGTGTCTTGCTTTTTCTCGTTGCGATCATTATTCAAACGGTTCTTTAAGTGTGAGGCAAGCTAGCTTACTCAGTGGAAATGCACAGAAATGGATTAAATTTATTTTTGTATGTATCAAGAAGAATTCTTAAATAATTTATTAAGTTGTGTATCGTGATTAGACTCGGACGCTTTATTGAAAAATGAGGATTATATTGATAACTATTCTCCAGTCAATTCATTTGGTGACTCCACAAACGAACGAGAATCTAAAGACATTGATTAGCGACCTGTTCTCTAATTACTCCCCCAAAGTCCGCCCAATGATAATTCAGAGTCACCCCGTGCCTCTGGATGTCAGTTTTTACCTGAGTAGTGTTAACGAGGTCAGCGAGGTCAAGGAGAAGCTGGTTACCACGGGATACCTGATGTTGTCATGGACGGATCAGCTGCTGAGGTGGACGCCATCACAATATAACAACACCGACACCATCTTCATTCCACAGGTAATCTGTAGTTCTTTATAAAATCTTCATCCCACAGGTATCTGTAGTTCTTTATAACAACACCGACACCATCTTCATTCCACAGGTAATTTGTGGCACAGGAGTAATAATGGGAAGTGGTCAAATAAAGTTGTATAGTTTTACTGTTTAACACAACATTTATAAAATATCTTAATATTTGAGTTTATCATAACTCGCAAATCTTCAAAAATGATAGAACGATCTGCGAATGGACAATCCTAAAATATATCAAAATTTGCATCTATGTTGACATCATCTAGAATTGCTTCCTATATAAATAAAAACTTTTTAACTTGAGATTGGTCATCTAAATTTACTTTGTTTGATCGATAATTGTTCGTAATCTTCACCTTTCTCATTTATTAAGCATCACTATTTTGTTTCTTTGAGATGCGTTCCTTTGTTCTATGTAACTATCCCTATTTTGAAATGTGAAAACAGAAATTAAGTGTAAAATAAAAGTTCAAACGGGTTTAGCCGTGAAGAGGAAAGAAACTTTGTCCAACATGTATCCCTATTTTGAAATGTGAGAACAGAAATTAAGTGTAAAATAAAAGTTCAAACGGGATCAGCCGTGAAGAGGAAAGAAACTTTGTCCAACATGTAGTGCCACAAAATAATGCCTAGCAAATCCAGAGACAAAGCGAATGGCCAGGGAAATTTTAATTAAGATACTGATCGATATAATTTTAATTGGTTTAGTTTTATATTGGCAAAGATTCTAAACATCAAATAATATCAATAATTAATATTAACTATCAGGGTGAACATCCTGTATTCATCAGTCAGTTGAACAATGAGGAATCACAGTGAGTAGCTTTAAAACAGAAATATGGACATTGCGAACAGTAAACAAAGTCAAATGTCTATTGAAATAATACAAATGAGCGGGAACAGAGGAAACACAGACCTAAAACATCAGAGGTGGTGATATTTACCATGGAAGAATACGATTCTCCTGTCGACTGTCCCACTCACCGTGTGCTATTTGTCTAGATTGAGTAAACGCAAAACTTCCTAATCATCTCAGTTTTAAAACGAAGATACTTATCAAAGCACGTGTATATTGAACATGTCACTAGTTTTCATATGTTTCACGCAAACATACATTTTATCAATATATTTAGCATACGTTGTAGAACATATTGCTTTTTTCCATTTTAAATGTGAAAATGTTGATGACAATTTCAGAAGTGATGAAAAATGTTGATAATACTAGTATTGGAATTTCATTTCATTTATTTATTTTTTATTTTATTTATATTGTTTTTATTTTTATGGTCATAATAATCAATGTCTGAATAGTTTTAACTGCTAATTTAAGGACTAAAGTATATTTAAAGTTTTTATTTCTTTCAAAATTGCATTCTCCCCTACACTTCTTTCAGTTTAAAATGAATAATAGCATTATAGCACATTTATAAAATATTAAATACACACACAGATTAAACTGATATTAAAAGACATGGACGTACTACCAGGGATTTTTTTTTCCATTGAGCCAGAGGATTATTTCTTGCCGTAGTCTCTATTAAGGTTTTATCTTAAGTACGAGGGCTGTTCAATAAATAATCTCCTTGGTGCTCAGAAAGAAGCAAACAATGCTTTTCAATGATTTAGTCTTCATGATTTTACTTATTAATCTCTTTTAATTCAAACACATGTCTGTAACATTTTTTATCCAATTTCTGATTGTTTTTAGAACTAATTTTTTGGTATGACCCTTAGTATACTGGAAAATGGCAGATCCAATGATTTCCTGGACTTGTTTTTTTTCTTCAAAAAGGTGTTTTTTCAAGTTTGGAAATAGAAACAAGTCAAATGGCCAAAGATCTGGCAAATATTGTTAATGTGAAAAAACATTAACTTTCTGTTTATCCCGAAAACCCTTTTACTCTTCAGGGCATGTGGGTTTGGACGCTGTCATGAAGAAATTCAATGTAGTGAATTCCTGATTCTGGGTCCTTCCTCTAATAAACCTTTAAATCTTTTTGCAAAAAAAAATTGCTTTCCAGACTCCTCCAGATATTAAACTGTCTCCCCGAATACGAATTTGAACAACAATACCACTAATATTTAAGAAAATTGCATATAAATCTGTCCTTGTGCTCTTGCATACCTTTGCTTTTGTCAGACCTTCGCCGTTTTTATCATGTACATCTTATGGTAAATTTTGTTTTGATGATTTTAAGCAATAGATTCATGTTCCAATATCTGTTTGAATATAAAACAAACGTGGATAACTACAATTACTGATATTTTAAAATAATTGTTAAGACTTTCGTACACGCTGTCTTTTTCACTCATTTTTCAAAAATATAGCGTGACCTTTGAGTACCAAGCTTTTTTACTGTCAAACGTTTCTAAAAAAAAAAACAGTGTAAACTACTCCCGATATGATGTCTACCAAATTTGTTATGTGTCTTAAAGTCAATCATTCATCATCAAATATTATTTGTTGAAATTTGACAAACAATACATTAGTTATTATAATTTTTGTTGGCAAGGAGGGTACCCATTTTTGATGTCCATTATATAATTTTTTATCATTGAAATCCACCTGCTCATTTGTCTATAAAACAGGCATCGGTTTGCTGTAAATGACACGTATTTCAGTGAATATTTCTTTGGGATCTTTAACAAGTTTTACAGCAGCTTTAATGTAGCCTTTATTTTCACTCTAGTTTACTGATTCTTTACCATTTATTTATAATGCAGTGTCTCGAAAAGCCCTTGTTTCCCAGCTTCTCACGATGAAACTATGTGATGAAAAGTGGTCACATAAACTGTTATAAATTCAGTAAAGATTCAATAATAAATAATCTGAAAATGTTGAAAGTAAAGTTTAATATAATCATATGATATCTGTATTGTAAAATAACTTTTTATTTACGTCATATAGTTCAGACATTATTTATTGAACAGCCCTCGCCATTTTAGAACCAATTAAATCTCTTTAAAATCATTTAATGGTCTTTAGAGTTGATCAGCATGGCAATGTGTACCAGTAGATGTGATGAATCACTTTAAATACAGGCCAATTCTTAAACACCACAAAAGATAAATTTTCTTGTCAAAGAAGTATACTTCCCGATAAATTAAATTAAGTGGCTGTACAAATATCTAAAATTTCAAAGTGATAAACATTTAATATTGCCATAGTTTAGTACAATACCAATATTTTTGTGCCTAGTTTTACTCTTAAAATACACAAAAACCCAAGGGACTAACATAATATATAATATTAATTATGTAAAGTACATAATTGTGCCTTTAAAATACACAAAAACCCACGAAAATCGTATGACATGACCAATATTAATAATGTCATACTTTGATACATAATAACCAATACCACTACATGTATAATTGTCCTGGTTTTATTCTTAAAATACCCGAAAACCCAAGAGATTCTGGGGGAATTTCCCTCCCTTGGCCTCCACCAGTGCTTCACCCAGGACCCACTGGGAGCCTTAAGGCGGCCCCAGACCTCTTGCTTGAACGAAGTTATACACGCCCCCCCCCTCCTGAATCCGCCTATGGTATATAAATGATTAGTCTTTTAGAATCAATCGTTCAAGGTACGTAAGACAAAGAAGAAAATAAATAATCTGTCAGTCTCTTTAAACATTAATGGTCTTTGATGATTCGTTACACTCAGAAAATATCGCAAACAATCACATCATAATCTTTATAACATTGAATTAACTGTACAAATATTTATAAAGTGATAAACATTATCGATTCCATTGATCTTCTAAGAGGGACTAACATAATATATAATATGCCTTTAAGGAGACGAAAATCGCTGGATGTCTTTTAAGACTTATTAAAACGATATGTTCTCTCTCTCTCTCTCTCTCTCTCTCTCTCTCTCTCTCTCTCTCTCTCTCTCTCTCTCTCTCTCTCTCTCTCTCTCTCTCTCGTCATTATTGTCATTACGTTTATCAAAGTTCAAAATACCGCCAAATTCGTTTTCTGGTATCCAGTATAAAACAGAAGTGCAGAATGTGTGATCTCTTTTATGTATATTTCAATGGGATATAATCAAAGTTGGATTGAAAATGAAAATATATTTTTGGTAAAATGTGGTCAATGTACGGACAGATCACAGCAAGCGAGTTCTTGTTTTCATGTCAAAGCTTTTGATTAAATTATGCTTCATAAAAATACTAAAGAAGGTAAACCAACGATTGGGTGCAATTACGAGAATAACTCATGGGAATTCATACAGATCGTTCATTGCAAGACTTTGCCCTCAAAACTATTAGATATTGTCATTGAGAGACGCGTGTATCCTTTAAATACACAGGTAATGATATTGGCTTATATCATATACCTAGTAGTGTATCAGCCCTGATACAGGCGTTTTGGACTTGGCGAGACAGCGCCTCGGAAGTAAAGATACAAGGGGCTGTCAAATTTCAAATCATTATATCTATTTAATTTGTGTGAATTAAGAGTAAAATTCATGTTTAAGTATTAAAGAGAAACATTATATATCGAAAAATTTAATCAGAATCTTTAAAAAATATTTTTTCATAATAGAATTTTGAGAAAATTGTTTTTAAAAAGGATAGCATTTGTGACGTAAGAGAGGTAACTCTTGTTTACTTCTAGGACAACAACAAGTCATGTTTTGAAACAATGGACGTTTATTTGCTTTGACAGTAAGACAATACTAAGTTTTCATTTAATGTGCCATTTTTAATTAAATATTTATTGTATACAAAACAAATACTTACTATAAATCTCAGGTTTACAAATTGTAACGATTCGTTGACGGAGTTGTAACCCCGGTTCGATCCAAAGTGAAAGTAGAATATTTTTGAGTTTGGGACCTTTTAAATCTTTGTTACCTAATGTGCTTCGAAATGAAATGTTTCAAAACACCAGGACTGTTCTTTTTAATGACCAGACCAGGCAAATCTGTCTCTATTTGATTATTCACCGTCAAGCAACATCTCCAGGAACATGGAAATAAAGAAAGATAACTCTAATATTTTGTTATGACAAAATGATAAAAAAAATATCAAAATATTTGTTCTTTTCTTTGGTTTTAGATATATGATATAAACAACATCACACCACTATTTTGATCTCGTCCCTGGTATCAGCCCTCGGGTGGTCTCGGCCCGCGCCCTCCGGGCTTGGGCCGATTATACCAGGGCCGAGATCAAAACAGCAGTGTGATATTCTATATATATCCATGCGTACAATCATGTATTTCAAAACAAAAAAGGATTGCAAATATCAATTCAATTTTTATTGGAGAAGCAGTTATCTCTGATTTTTCTATATTTTTTTTTTTATGTTTTGATGCTAATGATCTACATAAAAAAAACAGTGATTTCAATAGGTCTCTAAAACATGTAAAAGTTTATTAATTTCATTTCTCTTAATTCTGTTAAAAAAACTGTGGGGTTTTTTTTATATTGCCTTTAAAGATAATGTAAAGATATCTATCTAAGAGGTTACACTGGTCAAAAGTCCTTCCCTCGCAAATAGCAAACAACAAAACTTTCTAAATTGTTAAAAGCAGATATGTCACCTGGGCTTCAAGAACGAATATCATGATCTAAATTAAGGTAAAACGTTTAACTGTAATAACATCATTTTTGAAAGTCAGAAATACCAAATGACCGGCCAGTAAATTCTTTATCTTTTTCTGATGTGGAAAATAATTATATCTCAAATTGTTCAGACATAATTTATAATATAAATGTATTTTCATTTGTAGAATGAAATATGGAAGCCTGATCTTGTACTGAAGAACGGATTTAAAAAGTTCGAGGAGCTGGGAGGAAACTTTTACTACCTGTCAATCAATTATGAAGGACTAGTGTTTTGGTTGCCGTTCAACGTTTTTGAAAGTCGCTGTTCCATGGACATAACGCATTTCCCATTCGACACACAGAAATGTGACATCAAATTTGTTACATGGAGTCATTTTGCAGATCAAATAGAAATTACAAAATCAACAAATGGAATCCAATTTTACGAATTTGAGGCTAATGGAGTTTGGGATATAATCGACACGTCATCGGAGATAAGTAAAGAGAATAGTGAATCTGAAGTCAAATTCACCATCAAATTACGTCGAAAGTCCCTTTATTATATATTAAATATAATTCTACCCATCGTTTTATTGGGATTTTTGAATATGCTAGTTTTTGTGATTCCAGTCGATGCAGGAGAAAAAATGTCATTTTGTGTGACCGTATTTTTGGCCTTTGCTGTTTTTCTGACCATTATTTCCACGCTGTTGCCAACTACATCCAATCACACTCCAATTATAGCGATGTACTTGATCGTTCAGTTGATATACGGAGTAATAGCCCTTATTATTTCAGCTTTCCAGCTCCGCCTTCATCATAGAGATGAGGAAGAAGAAATTCCTAAATGTTTGATAAAGATCGTCCGACTTCAAAGAAAACTGAGATGTAAAAAAGCGAGGGTAACTGAATTAGTCGTTTTAGAATCAAAACACAAAGAAAATCTCGAAAACACACAGTATAAGGATGACAGCCCTGAAGAGACATGTGACTGGAAGCATGTGACTTCTTCCATTGATTTTTTCGCCTTCTGGTCTTTTTTGATTTCCAACATTGTGATTACTCTTAGCATGTTTTTAGCATCCTCTTCGCAGTAACTCTTCAAATCTGCAGACCAAAAACCATAGTAAATATACCCTAATCTGACTTTCTATTAATACTGAATCCAAATCTACATATCATTATTTTTTTTTCTTCGTGCAGGTGACATTCTGTCTTTTTGGACAGTAATGACTTTTTATTAATTTCATACTAGAATACAAAATTTCATATACACCGGTATAATCGATGATATACCTCTGAGCAAGTTAACCTCAGTCTGACCTTATTTCCATGTTCAAGCCATTTGTTTTAGAACTTAGCATAGTGACCTAACCTTCTTTATTCAATTTAAACTTTATATT